GCCAGTTAACTGGGATGTCCCATGAAACCATGACCATAAACCTCCAAATAAAGGAATCAAATCCCATGAGGTGTTTAGTTGTACATAAGCAGCCTCAACAGCTACTTTGTTTTTTTTGTTGTTGTTGTAAATATATCACACTTTTGCCAATTCAACTTTTTACAGGTGTACAACTTATTGACGGCAATAATAATAACTGGTTGTGCAACCCTACCCTTAATCAATGCAATTTTTCCATTACTGTTAAGCCTCCTTTTCCCCCTTCCTCCTGCCCCTGGTAACCACTAATAAGCTTTGGTCACTGTACACTTGCCTTTTCTTGTCTTTTTATATAAGTGAGGTCATACAACAGTTGTCCTTTTGTGATTGGTTTATTTCGCTCAGCATAATGTCTTCAAGCTCCATCCATACTGTAGCATGTATCAAGACTTCATTTCTCCTACTGGGTGAGTAGTATTCCATTGTATGTATGTACCACATTTTGTTTATCATCACAATCTGCTGATGGGCATTCAGGATGTTTCTACCTTTAGGCTACCATGAATAGTGCTGCAATGAACACTGGTGTACAAGTCTCTTTTTGAGTCTCTGCTTTCAAGTGTTTTGCGTATATACCCAGGAGTGGAATTGCTGGGTTATATGGTAGTTCTATTTTTAGTTTTTTGAGGAACGCCACACTGTCTTCCACAGCGGCTGTACCATTTTGCATTCCTACCAGCAATGGGTATGAGTTCCAATTTCCCCACATCCTTGCCAACATTTACTGTTTTCTGTTTTTTTGTAATCTAAGCCATCTTAGTGGGAGAGAAATGGTATCTCATTGTGGTTTTGATTTGCATCTCTGATGGCTAATGACACTGAGCATCTTTTCATGTGTCTAGTGGCTATTTGAATGTCCTCTTTGGTGAAATGTCTATTCAAGTCCTTTGTCCATTTTATGACTGGGATATTTGTCTTTTTGTTGTTAAGCTGTTGAAGTTTTACATATATTTTGATTAGTAGTTTCCTGACAGACATATGGCTTCCAATGATATTCTCCCAGTTGGTAGCTTGTTTTTTCACTTTTTTGGTAAAGTCTTTTGATGAACAAATTCTTTAATTTTTATGAGGCCCCATTCATTTATTTTGTTTTTTACTGTTTGTGCTTTTGTTATTATATTAGATAATCCATTGTTAAAAGCTAGGCCTTACAGCGCTGCCCCTTCTTTTTCTTCTCAGAATTTTATGGTTTTGGTTTGCACGTTTAGGTCCTTAATCCATTTTGATTTTGTTTTTGTGTCAAGGCTGTAATCTCTACTGAAGCAGACTGCCACATCTTTCCACATCTTCCTCCAGTAGAGCAAATGGAGGGTCTAAACCACCAATCTTTTGGTGAGCAGCCAAGTGCTTAACCACTGTGCAACCAGAGCTCCTTAAATTCTTACTAGCAATGCACACTTCAAAAGAACTTGAATTTTAGGGTTTCTTATTATTTCCCCCAATAAATCAACTTGTTATTTCCAATACTCAGAATAATTTTTGATGATTATTTCAGATTATATCGCTGTATGGATTGAACTGTATCCCCCCAAAACGTGTTATAAATCTGAAGCCCTATGCCTGTGGTTACAGTCCCTTGGGAATGGGTTTTGTTATGTTAATGAGGCAGCATTAGTGTAGGATGTGTTTTACACCAATCTCTTTTGAGATATAAAAGAGCAGACTAAGCAAGTAAGCAAACAAGCAGAATAGAGAAAGACAGATGCTGTCATGGACTGAATTGTGTCCCCCCAAAATGTGTGTCTATTTGGCTAGGTCATGATTCCCAGTTGTGTGATTTTCCACCATTTTGTTACCTGATGTGATTTTCCTAGGTGTTGTAAATCCTATCTCTATGATGTTAATGAGGTGGGATTAGCAGCAGTTACTTTAATGGGGCGGGACTCGATCTACAAGATTAGGTTACATCTTAAGTTATTCTCTTTTGAGATATAAAAGACAGCAGGGAATAGAGAGACATGGGGACCTCATATCACCAAGAAATAGGAGCCAGAAGGATAGCGCGTCCTTTGGACTTGAGGTCCCTGCACTGAGAACCTCCTCAACCGGGGAAGATTGATGACAAGGACCTTCCCCCAGAGCTGACAGAGAGAGAAAGGCTTCCCCTGGAGCTGGCACTCTGAATTCAGACTTCTAGCCTCCCAGACTGTGAGGGAATAAATTTCTTTGTTAAAGCCATCCACTTGTTGAATTTCTGTTATAGCAGCACTAGATAACTAAGACAGATGTCAAGCCATATGATGATCACCAAGGAAGAGAGAAACAGAAGCTGAAAAGAGACAAGGACCTGCCCCAGAGCTGACAGAGAATGAAAGTCTTCCTCTAGAGCTGGTGCCCTGAATTTGGACTTCTGTTTGTTAAAGCCGCCCACTTGTGGTATTTCTATCATAGCAGCACTAGATAACTAAGACAACCACTTACACATGATCTTGCTATCCTCAAGAGCAAGTGGAACCAGTGTCCAGTATAGAGGTTAATACAAAGAATGCCTCAAGAAATGTTAAATGAATAAATAGCATGCTAACAATTTCTGAAGAAAAAACTACTTAAGTGATTGTCCAAAATTGGTATATTTCCATTTTAAAAAAGAATGCCCTTCAGATATTGAGGGGGATGTTAAAACTTAATAAAGGTGAGCATAAATAAATATATGCTGAATGAGCGAATGACCAAATGAACAAAGAACAACTATATCTTAATTCTTGGTTTCCTAAGTTTTCAATATTAAGTTAAATACCCATAGAATTGTCTGGAGACAACTATAATTTCTTTTCTTATTAACTGAATAACTATTAATGCTAAAGGAATATCCATATTAATCATGGAGCAGTAATCTGCTCCATTATAACAGAAGTAACACCTTTGACCTACATATTGTTCAACATGCACTAGACTCATGTTCTCAGCTATGATGTGGTGGTCAATGATCATGGTTAGTCCCAGCGGCAAATGTTTGTCAGATTTCTCAACCACACAAACATTGGTCACTGTTTGATCCCGAAAGCCCCAAATCAGACTTATCTCAAACCCTAGTTATAGGCTATTAATGATTAAGAGAGATAATGTGACAGATTCTACCTTTAGATAACCACTCTGTAGACAGAAGCTTGAGAAGAAGCATTAACTCCTTCAAGTAAAAAAAAAATGGGTCACTCCTGAGGTTCACCCTTCAGCCAAAGACAAGATAGACCCATAATACAAAACAAGACTAGATGGACACACCAACCCAGGGGCAAGGACAAGAAGGCAGGAGGGGACAGGAAAGCTGGTAATGGGGAACTCAAGGTCGAAAAGGGGAGACTGTTGATAAGTCATGGGGTTGGCAACTGATGTCACAAAACAATATGTGCACTGTTTAATGAGAAACTAGTTTGCTCTATAAACTTTCATCTAAAGTACAATAAAAAAAAAATTTTTTTTAAATAATAATAATAATGGGCCACAAGGCAAAGCCATAGAAGTTTCCTAGGCACATCCAAACACCTTGAGGGACCAAGTTACTGGGGCTAAGGGCTGGGAACCATGGTTTGGGGGGACATCTAGGTCAACAGGCATAACATAGTTCATAAAGAAAATGTTCTACATCCTACTTTGGTGAGTAGCACCTGGGGTTAAAAGCTTGTGAGCGGCCATCTCAAATACATCTCTTGGTCATTCCATCACGCTCAGAGTGAAGAAGAACAAAGAAAACCAAAGACACATGGAAAACATTAATCCAAAGAACTAACAGACACTTGAACCACAGCCTCCACCAGACTGAGGCCAGAAGAACGAGATGGTGCCTGGCTACCTCCACTGATTGCTCTGACAGGGAACACACTAGAAGGTCCTGGGCAGAGCGAGAGAAAAATGTGAAACAAAATTCAAATTCATACACACAAAAAAGACCAGACTTACTGGTCTGACAGAGACTGGAGGAATCCTGGATACTATGGCCCCCAGACACCCTGCTAACTCAGAACTGAAGCTACTCCCAAAGGCCACCTTTCGGCCAAAGATTAGACAGGCCTATAGAACAAACAGTAACACATGTGAGGAACATGTTTCTTAGTTCAATCAAGTATATGAGACCAAACGGGCAACACATGCCCAAAAGCAGGAAGGGACAGAAAAACTGGATGAACGGAGAATCCAGGGTGAAAAGGGAAAGGGGGAGAGTGATGACTCATGGCAGATTGCAACCAATGTCATAAAACAATCTGTGTATAAATTTTTTAATGAAAAGAATAATAATAATAATGGGTCACACAATCAATCTCTGAATTAGTTTAGCAGGGTAACATAACTTATAAATGACTAACTAAACTATCTCTGATTGTTACAACTAAGCTATTTCACAATATCCAAAGAAGAAGTATACTATTTTATTGAAACAATAATTCCATTTAATTCAATACACCATAAACTATTAATTTATGTTTTAAAGCAAAATATAATCATAGGTCACATTTTAAACCTGAACATTCTATGGCTGACTAACAATCTACACATTTAAAACAAGTGGAATAAAAAACCCTGGACTATAGTAATTTATTAAACACTAATGTTGTGACTTGAAAGAGTTAATGTAACTTCCCTAATACCTGCCTTATAACCAGAGAGAAGTTTATTTATCAGAGTACTTTGGATAAATAAAAACTGCAGAAGCTTCTCCAGAATTAAATTTTAAAGAACATTATTTCAAGGAGATAAGATCTTTACTAAAAAGTTAAGTATACCTGGGAATAGATGGAAGCTTTTCTTTTGCCACCTTTAATTACAGAGGACTTTTTATATCACTGGATTGCTTACAGAAGGTATAAAATTATAATAGAAGAAATGTGCTTATTGAATACTTGATCATGATCGCTTCTATTTCAAATGTAGTCTAATCTGTTAAGATCCTCTTCATATTAGGCTCACAAGCATTAATCATTTACCTAAATATAGGTAATAGGTTAAACGTTTTTTGGTGTATTTACCTTTTTTCCTTTGAAGTTGAGGGTACCAGGCTGCTCCAGCACCCCATAAAACAAGCACATAATGTTGACCTTGAGTCTGCTCCACAGTTAACACAACTTTCTTTTGCTTCTGTCCTCTATAACTGTATAATGCTTCTGGAAAAGGAGAAGTATTTAATCTATCACATGTGATACCATACTTTAATATCTGATAAGTATGTAGTGACAAATAAATAGTACACTAAAATGGTCTTTTATCTTAATTATTTCATAATTTAAAATTAAGGTAACCAAAATGTTTACCTGTCAGTATAGTGATATCAACAACTCTTAGTACTGCGTGGACTAATATTTCAGGCTGAAGGTGCTTCAGTTCTACAAACTCTATACTGTTCATTTTCTGAGGCTGCCTCTGAGGAAGATCTCTGAGACAGGAATGTTTTGAAGACACATAAGCCAGTAAGTCTTGAAGTACAACAGCACTAACTATACTGGAATCTAAGAAAGAGAAACACATACACAAAGGATGGGAACATTATACTTTCTTGACAACATATATTCTTAGAACTGTATGTTATGCTGTGAAGTATGATTCAATGTAAAACATGATTTCACTTCTATAAAATATGTCGCTTATTCCTGAATCAGTTTAGATACAAAAATAAAACTTGGTATTTATAACCAACTGAATTATTTACCATCTCCTAAAAACTGGCAGTATCCTCTTACTTCTCTATTTTGTTAATATCATTTTTCTACCAATTACCCAAGCTAAAAATTTCAGTTATTGTTATAATTTTTTTACTCCTCTACCAGCCAATTATATCCAATCAGTTTCCACTCCCTGGAATCTAATTTGATCATGTCTTCCTCAACTATCCCAACCACCTCCATTCTTCTTCATGACCCTTACCACTTCACACCTGAAATGCTCTATCAGCCTCCTAGCTAACCCTCACACTTTCCCTGAACACGTCTGATTCCTTCCCATTTCTAAGGCTCTGCCCTTACCACCTCACAACCTGCAATGCTATCATCCTCCCTTTTACCTATCCAAATACTACATAGAATAATAACCACTACAGACCCACAGTGATTTCTCCTCCCCTCACTCAGAGAGCGTTTTACCTGTAACTCTCATTTGGCATTTGAGCGTGGGCAGCATTGTAATATTTCTTTTGATTGTTAGATCAGTTATTGAACTCTTCAGTCATTACACCACTTAGATGTTTTTTTCTTTCTTGTCTCAATTTTTTTTCTAATGCTTTATTAAGGTATACTTTACATACAGTAAAAGGCACAAATTTTAAATGTACAGTTTAATGAGTTTTGCTGATTAAACTTAAATTTCTCAAAGAAAAGGGAGGTATGTTTGAGCGCATGACTGATTGTTGACCAAAAAAAGATCTTGGTACAAAACACTTCGGTACTTTGTAGAAGGCAGAGTTTATTAGCCGATTTCAATAGGAAAAAACAAACAAATGATTCTTCTTTCCTTCTTCCATCAATGCTCACTCTCATGTATTCCTTATGACACATTAAAGCCTCATTTTTCACTCATTTATTTCATGAATATTTACTGATCATCTACCATGTGCCAGGCATTATACCAGGTACTAGGAATACAAAGACAAATTATGTCATGATCCCAACACTGAATGGGTTAACAATCCAGAGACAGACAATACTAAGCACAGTGCTCAGGACTTGAGAAATGCATGTAAGCACCCCTAAGAACACACAGAACAGAACTGCCTAGGGAAGCTGGAGGAGGCTTTACTGAGGAATATTTTAGCTGGATTTTGGGAAAATGTCCAGGAGATTTCCAGGTAGCAAACGAGGTAGGCAGGAGTATATTTCCAGGTAAAGAAAAGGGGTTCATAACCTTCTATGTACAAGGATGCTTTTGGTAGTCTGATGAAGCATATGGACCCATAATAAGAGTAATAATTTATAACAGCTTTATTGAGGTCTAATTCACATACATAAACTTCACCCTCTTAAAGTGTACAATTCAATGGTTTTTAGTACACTCAGAGCTGTGGAACTATCACCACTACCTAATTTTAGAACATTTTCATCACAAACTATTTTAAATGCATAAAATAAGATACTTAGGATTGCAAAGACAATCAATTATATAGAAGTAATAAAATATTTTTAAAACTGTGATATATGTGCCTCGTTAGTACATTAAATAACAAGACTTAGCAGAGTAACAACTAATTGCAAGGCACTGTGAGCATCAATGATATTCAAGTTATCTGCAACAAGTGTAATGTGATATAAAGTATATGATTTCCACTGGTGACCAAGTCACAAGTTCTGCTAATATTATTGTCGACTGCTGCCTTATTCATAATCGAAGGAAATGCTAAATCTCAGCTAGTGATTAATGAAATAAAGATGCAATGTTTTTCCCATCCAAATTCATGGACCCCCACCAAAAAAACCAAAACCCATTGCTGTTGAGTCGATTCTGACTCATAGCAACCCTATAGGACGGAGTAGAACTGCCCCATACAGTTTCCAAGGAGTGGCTGGTGAATTTGAACTGCCAACCTTTTTGTTAGTAGCTGTAGCTCTTAACCACTGCACCACCGGGGTTTCCATGGACCCCCTAGTGTAGACGAATCAATTTTCATGGAGGAAAAAACAGGAAGAACGTTTAGAAGGCTAGTGACACTATCACCAAGAGATGATAAATGTTGGAAACAGGCAAGGATACGTGAATGGGAAAAAGGTTATTTATTCATGAGATAGTGCAGAGGTACAATCCAGGAAACAACTGAAATGTGCAGGGTAAAGAAGAGATTAAAGATGACACCAAGATTTCTAGTACAGACAGGTAAGCAGATTAAAATACATGTTTTAATGTTTTTAGAAACCTGATTAAGATTACTCAATTCCTAAATGAATTTTATAAAACAATGGTGATATCACTAACAAAGATAATTAGCATAAGAAAAAAGAAGAGACAGTATGAAAGCTGACTAAGGGAAGAGTGGAGATAAGGAAATCAACTACACTACAGTAAAAACCCAACCCCAAATATCTCCTTCCATATCCTCGATTTATTCATCAGACTTCCTGATTCGTCTTTCATAATACTGTTAGTACATCTGGAATCAGAAGGGCTGGTTCAGATTCTGGCTTTGTCAATAATGATGTCTGTGAACTTGCAAGTAACTTCTCTGGGATTCATTCTTTGTCTATACTATAAAACGCTGGGGGGGGGTGGGGATCCCTGTTATCACATTATTTACTTGTCCCTGTTCCAAAAAGTTTTATATGGAAACGTCTAGTTATTTAGATTTCAAATAAAATAATCTACTGCTTAGAAATACTGAGTTAGCCTTTGATTTACATATTTAATAATATTTAGTATCAAATTTATATCCTGTCACATTATCAAGACTAGGTTTGTAAAATATGTAATACTTCACTATAAGGAAGAAAGAAGTCTTTTCCAAAAGTACAATATACTGATCAGAAGTGTGAGTTGTAACTACTTGCAAAATGAAACTAACCAAGTTGATTTATTCCGGTAGAAGAAATACAATTGCAGTATCTTCAAAGTGTCAACTGATAATCATTTCCCTAAATCAAACAAAAAACCTTTAAAATATACTTTAGCCACTAACCTATGAAAAACAAGGCAACGTAAATTTCAACGTAAGCATAAAAACAATTAATTTGAAGGTTATCTAACTAGTTCACATTTTTTCACATTGCTCTACAAAAACCTGAAGTGCCTCAAAGGTTCCATGGAATATTCTCTACCTGGAATTAGGTCCTAATATTATAATGAAATTATTAAATTACTTGAATCAAGATCAGCCTCAAACCCATAATATCTAGTACAACATCTAGGTTCCAAATCACTTGCAAAATATCTACATACCATGTTATTTTCATTATTTCAACACATTCCTTACCTTTCCATTGTATCAATAGCTATAAAACATGATGAATTTTGCTTAAAGTCCATTTGACTACCATTCACATAAACAGGCTTTCTAAGATGTGGTAAACTCAAATATTCATCTTTTATAGATTAAAATTACATGAAATCCTAAAGTTAAAAACCTGACTGATTTCAAAATCAAATACTGAAACACAAGTTGTCTTAATGTTTTCAGAACCCAATACATGTCATCTGCTTTAATTAAGCCTACAGTTTCAATGATGTTAGTAATGTTCTAAGTTTGGTGGTGGTTTCATGAGTATTTCTTAGTATACGTCATCATTTAAATATATTCTATACATCTTTCATGTATCAAATTTCATAATACAACTATTAATAAAACGAACTTACGATGTTTGGACTAGGGTGATAACAGTGTCAACACAGAGAAGGTGATAAATTTTTTTTTAATTTTCTTTTTTATTGTTGTAGTTTAAATGAAGTTTACATTTCAAGTTAGTCTCCCATACAAAATTTTATACATACATTGTTATGTGACCCTAACAGCTCACCCCATTCTGTGACAGCACACTCCTCCATTCTGCCTGATTCCCCATGTCCATTCAACCAGCTCCTAACCCTCTCTGCCTTCCCATCTCAACTCTGGACAGAAGCTGCCCCTTTGGTCTCTTGTAGCTACTTGACTAAGAGGCACACTCTTCACAAGTATCACTTTATGTCCCACAGTCCAGTCCAATCCCTGACTGAAGAGTTGGCCTCGGAAATTGTTTTAGATCTGGGCTGATAGAGAATCCAGGGGCCATGCCTTCTGGGGTACCTCCAGTCTCAGTCAGACCATTAAGTCTAGTCTTCTTACTAGAATTTGAGTTCTACACCCTGTCTTTCTGCTGCTCCATCAGGGACTCTCTGTTGTGTTCCCTGTCAGGGCAGTCATTGGTGGCAGCCGGGCACCATCTAGTTCATCTGGTCTCAGGCTGATGAAGTCTGAAGTCTCTGGTTTATGTGGCCCTTTCTATCTCTTGGGCTAATACTCTCCTTGTCTTTGGTGTTCTTCAATCTCCTTTACTCCACTTGGTTGGGACCAACTGATGCATCTTAGATGGCCGCTTGCAAGCTTTTAAGACCCCAGTCGCCACTCGGCAAAGTAGGATGCATAACATTTTCTTAATAAGCTTTGTTACGCCAATTGACCTAGACGTCCCCTGAAAGCATGGTCCCCAGACCCCTACCCCTGCTACTCTGTCTCTTAAAGTATTTGATTGCATTCAGGAAATTCTTAGCTTTGGTTTAGTCCAGTTGTGCTGACTTCCCCTGTAGTGTGTGCTGTCCTTCCATTCGCCTAAGATGATTCTTATCTACTATCTAGTTAGTAAATAACCCTCACTCTCCCTCCCCACCCCCATAACCATCATAGAATGTTTTCTTCTGTTTAAACCTTTTCTTGAGCTCTTATAATAGTGGTCTTATACAGTATTTGTCCTTCTGTGGCTGACTAAATTCACTCAGCGTAATAAGTTCCAGCTTCCACCATGTTATATTTCACGGCTTTATCGTTGTTCTTTATCATTGC